TTTATTGTCAGTCCCACCATTTCTGCTGTACCGTGGTCTGTTACTTTTCTCTTGTATATGTTCATGTTTAACCCCGGGGTTACATGGAACAAAATTAGGGGGTCAGTGATACATCATTTAGAAAACAAAAAACACCAACCCTATTTTTATTCTATTGTATACTCTGTTTCTAACCATTAGTTGGATCTGTGGCAGGCCTTTGAAAATAAGCGGGTTTCGAGGGCCAATCTAACTGCGAACCACTGCTCTAGTTTATCGTTATCCTACTTCTGTCCTGTTTCTCTCGAAGTGCACATTAGTACCTGTTGAATTCATTTCCCACCATGCAACAATGTAAAGAGAATCAGAAACAGTTATCGCACTTTACCCCATAGTCAGTCACGCAAAGTCGATGTCTTTTTCATTAACACGCAAGCACTTGGCTAAACGCGTTACAGAAAGCGCCTCTGGTACAAGACAAATCGGCTGTTTCTGACTGCAAAGCCCCTCAATGACTGTGCCAAACCGGAAAATGAGTATTGATCTCCACTTTTGAGATTCTTAGTCTGTTGTCTGTACTGGAGAAGGCAGAAACAGAGACCCTTCTTGCGAACGGAAAGTCCATTACGCACAGCAATATGGAAAAACATGCCAAGTGAGAATACGGAGATTTCATATCGATAGCATCAATCATCAAAAAAGCAAAGACGAGAGATTCCTATCTCAGATCAAGGAAGAGAGGAGATATAATGTGTTTGTAGATTCAGACGTGTTTTCAAAGATTTTCACCCACAAGGGATCCTCACTAAAATTAAAGTGGATGGACAAATATATACATGGGCATTTTATTTTAAGGGGACAGAAAACTCACATCATACGCGCTCAGGCAAACAGAACTGACAAAGGAAAACGTTTTATACATCAATACTAGGATATGGTATGAACTATAGCACTTTAAGCGAACAATCTTAAAGATTTCCTATGATGTGAATTCCCAACAGATTCTACGCGTCAAGTGAAATAAAGATGATAATCTGGTTGTCGTGTCAGGAACGCAACGAAGGAAACCGACAGTGAATAGTCTCGGTTCCTGCTCAAAGATTTCGCGTGAAAAGACGAGCTCGGATCAATACTCGTGGCCAAACACAGGGGGCAGTGTTGTTGAAACAAACATCGGAAACAGGCAGCTTCATCACAGAAAGATGAAATCGTTTAAGGGGGTCACTACACGGCATTTTTCCCCATTTATGACACAAATATCACTTTTTCAATTTCTTCGTTTTTGTAAAGTTCGGCATTCGTAGAATAGGTAACACACAAAATTTATGTCATTTGTAAACAATTAGGCTTTGAAAAGTTAATACCCATGCACGTTTTTAAGATTAAAAAAAAAGTTTAAAAGTCAGTTTTCTCACATCTGTATATTTCTGTTTGTTGTGTATGTGAAATCCTAAAATCTCAGTATAAAGACTAGAAACATAAAATTTAGTGTGGATAACCTTTAAACAATATTATAGGGACTGGTCTTTTCAAAAGTATAGTTTAGAAAGTTTTTTTTTTTTTTAATTTGATAATTCTCTTATTATGCAAGATTTTTTTGACTTTTTCAATAAACCTACATTTTAAAATTCTATGAAAAATATTTTTAAAAAAAAAACAACATGTTTAAAGTATTAAAAAAAAAAAAAAAAAAAAAAAAAAAAAAAAAAAACTACACCTGTACCTCTAAATATAATAAAAGGTCATGAATCCATAATCCATTGTTTAATATGCATGTTTGTTTTTGAAATTTTAGGATTCTAAGTATATGTTCTCCCCCCCCCCCAAGATGGCGGCTATTGCCATAACAACCATGATTTTTTCACACTTAAAGTATGCAAATGTATTAACATTCCCTTCAAATGACCATTATAAAATAATTGCTCTAATTCGGTAAATAAAAAATAAAAATAAAATTTTTTTTTGGCGTAGTGACCCCCTTAAGAACAAGAACAAGGAATGAATCCTTTTTTAAAGTCTGTTAATCATCACCATCATTATCATCATCATCAACAACACCACCACCAGTTTGTGCTTTCTATGATAGAATGTACTGCTGAATGAGACCTTCGTGGCTAAGTGGTTAAGCCGTTTGTCTAGAGCTCTGCCTCTGTTTCGTCCTTCGGTTCACCACTACATGTTTCTTCAAGCAACGGAGTCTGTTCTTTGTGCGACTCTCTCTAAGGAAAGGCTATCCCATGGCCTATGACGATCGTTTTCAAGCGCTGAAAGAGAGCAATTTAAACAGTCCTCTTCTTCGGCGCCCAATGACGCCACAAATATCATCCGCCTCCATTCATCTCTGCGACTGGCCTCATCTTTCCAGTTGGTGACTGAAAATGTTTGTAGGTCAGCCTGAATATTATCTGCCCATCGCCTTCATCGCCTGCCTCGTGGTCTACTCTCATCAGACTTTTGTTTGTTTGTTATGTACGCCGTGTTCGTCTCTCTGCTATGTGTTTTTTTTTCTACATGCTCAAACCGTTGCAAAGTAAGCGCAATGGCCTAGATATTAGATACTATAGTGTGGTACTACACTCCTACAAAGAAATTATATTTTTTTTGTTCACCTTGATAAAGCAGACTGAATTGTGTTCATAACGTTTAATGTAGAATGATTTAAACAAAATGAGCAGTGAACAAATGTTTGGAAGCTTTCGCGAAGAGCTTTAGCAGAACGCAAGAGAAGAACACTATAGGGGGAGTTTGAAAAGAGGAGGAAGAAGAAGAAGAAGAAGAAGAAGAAGAAGAAGAAGAAGAAGAAGAGGAAGAAGAAGAAGAAGAAGATGATGATGACAATGAAGAGGAAGAAGAAGAGTGGAGTGGGAGAAAAGATGCTTTTTTATTCATCATCAGCCTGTTGCGCCGCGGTTACTGGGCTTGCCTTCCAGTCCACAAAGTTTGTCCTGTGCAATCCACTCGATTTCAATGTAAGAATCCAGTAGGACGTATGTGTAGACTCCTGGTTACCTCAATCCGCTTGTTTCCCATTCCAGTTAGACAATGTAGAGGAGGAGAATCAGAGGAGGAAAATGAACAGTGAGAACCAAAAGCACAAGAAAATTAATATAAAGGAAAATGTTCAGCTGCTAATTTATAATTTTGCCGCGGCCTCTAATGACATTCTTACACTCACGCCATTCCCACAAACGTTAACAATAAGCAGAAGACGTCTTAATGCCCTCCCCTCACCGTCCTCCCCACAATAACACAACACAAACATGTGTTTCCTCTCCGGCTGTTATCCACAATTACATTCCACATCTACAAGCGGCCGGGCTATTTTCTGCTCTTGTTTATTGAGACCGTAATGGTACGCCGCTTATCTACCCCCAACTGGCGCTCTGGCGTAATGAAGAGGTCTATTACACCAAAACCCGAAACGGCCTAACTATCTAGCCAGTTTTATCAAGTAGCGATTACAGTAACGACAGAAACTGCCAGGGATAAATAAACAGCGTTACCACATCAAAGAAAGGGCAGACAAAATCGAGCCGGCAGGATAAGATGAGACATGAAACAACGAATGTGTTTCTGTGTGAATGGATGCACAAATGATGTGTCTCCATGTATGCATGTGTGTATGCGCGCGCGCTTGTGTGTATATAAATGTGTGTGTGTGTGTGTGTGTGTGTGTGTGTGTTTGTGAGCGTTTACAAAAATGTATGTAGTTTTATGTGTAAAGGTTAAGTACACATATTAAGGACCCTTTTCCACACCTTAAGGCGTATTGGGCAGATAGGGCTAAACCCAAATTTTATAGACTAATCCACACTCGTTAGATGATGTGGACAACGTCACACCGGCCGCTTTTATCTCCCAGGACTTTATCTGGCACCCACCTAAAGCTAGGTCGACCTAGAGGCTGAGGTCATTTGCGGTGGGCGGGGGGGGGGGGGGGGGGCTGGCTCTGCCAGGACCAGAACATAAGACCCTGGTATCCGCAGGCAGGCTTCTAGCCACCACACCACGGCGGCTCCTACGTGTTGTGTGTATCTCTCTATTTGTGTCGCTTGTCAAGGACCTTCTTTCTCGCGTTCACCGGCTGTACACTTTTGCGGAAAGTTGTGGTTGTTCTTCCAGCTCTTGACTTCAGTCTGGTTCTAGAAAGTGTTCGCTGCGTGCAAATCCGTTTCACAGAAATAGCTTATTTGTAGGCAGACTGTTAGTTCCTTGCCTCTGGAAGGATGCCCTCAATTAGTCGACTCCTACGGCATGTTTATTAGGAAGGCAGCAGGTCTAGTCTGGTCTTAACCACACGTGGCTGTTGATTGTCTGATCAGTCCCTCTAGATGCGATATACTTTACGGTTGTATTATGCCTAAGGCCTGTCCAGTCAGTCAAGTTCTGTACCCAGGTCTTTCCTGGTCTGCCTCTTCTCCTCTATCGAGTCCTGTAGTACTGGTTTTGAGAAGCTTTGTTCTTACTTCACCTTCGCCATAAATATAGAAATCTTCTTACATGTCCGTTAAAAAAAAAGCTAGCTGCATATCCTTTACAAAACGTTGCAGAACCAACCCTAAAAATTTCTGAGTGTGGCTGTTGTGGTTTTTAGGCAAATTTTACTCGTCAGTAGTTTGAAAGATCAGCTCTCGGTACCACTCTTGAAACCAACGCAAGACGGTCTGCTGACAAATCGCCTGCAGCTGGATTCGAACCCGGCATTACAAAGCGCGTCGCAACGCCTAAGCAACAGATACTAATTTAACAACATCGTCTGAAAGGATGAAAATGCATCGGGTAACCAGGTAGTCGGTCAGGACATTATTTGGGTCCGCCTTTCTTTATCGCATACTCGATGGCGAGCCATGCTAGGCCGATTTATATGGCGCACGTAAGCTAGTCGCAATTAAAATCATAATCTCCCCCTTCAGATTATGCTGGTGGAAATCAAACACCCCCCTTCTCCCCACCCCCGGGCCACCTTAGCAAACCAAGGCAAGAAAGACGAAAATGTGCCAACAGAAAACAATAACACTCACCTATTCTGATTGCCTTCCATTTGAGCTTTAAGGCTGGCAATTCTGTCTATATGGGCGCTGGAAATAGTGGCAGGCTGAAACAGATAGTAACTGTCATGAAAACTGAACTCGGGGGAGGGGGGGGGGGAAGGGGAGGCCGAAGAAGAGGCCTACCATGCAAACGATAGACAGAGTCGATGGGAATCCCCATTTACGAATCGTACAAACGGATACTTTCCCGTAAATTATACTTCACCTCGACACCTCAAGGTGTCTTTTTCTTTTTCTTTATGTTTGTTTTCTTCTTTTTCATCGTCGTCCTCTACGTCGTTGTCGTCTTCTTCTTTTCTTCTTCTTCTTCATGTTTACTGGTTGTAAACTCCGGCGGGAAGTTCCAGCTGGACGTCCACTTGTAGGCTTTAGTCTTGTTCCAGAACCTGATTGTTGGCGTGCATATCTGTCTTACAGATCTGGTCTATTTGTATGCAGACTGTGGGTTCCTTGCCCCTCTGGAAGGCGCACTCCGGCTTCAAAGGAAACATCTCTAATTACTCGACTCTTACC